CTACTATTTTCAGCTAGTATTGAATGCACAGTGGTACCACCAGGCTTGGTACTGTTAATCAGAGGCAGAGATACAAGATACTCTGGGACAGTACCAATGTTAGACACTGTTCCCAACAGGCTTTCTGAGAAGAACAATATATTCTCATGTCTTGGGATGTCCCCTGAGCAGCCTTTCTGTAAAACAAACAAAACCTGCACTGCGATCCATTAGCATTATACCAGCAAGGTTCTGTCTCAAGTATGTTCGGCTTCTTCTTTTGGTAGTAGTGTTCACTGTTCATGGTTATTTGCATAGAATTGGTGGTGGTGTTTTGTTTTTGTTTTTTTCCACGTGATAATGTGGATTACTTACTTGTTTCTCTCTTTTACATCAGAATATGCTGCATCTTCAGCTAAACCACTTTGCTTGTAAAAATGGGACAGTGTGAGGAGGTAGAAGGACAGGGCAGGATGACTGAACATGTCATAGCATTTGCAGTCCCCACTGTTACCTTTTATGCTAATCACTTTTATAATCACCTCCGTTGTAGACTTCTAGCTGTGTGAAAATTACTTTGTCTACTTTTTCATCTCCTGTGTTATGTAGAACTTACGTATCTATTTTCTATCTGTTTTACCAGAATTATGCAAATGCTGAGAAACAGAAACATGAAAGAACGGTGGTCCAAACTGAAGTCTGAAACTAAGCCTGACATATATTCTACCCCAGCCTTCTTACTAGAACTATATGCTTAATTCTCCTAACAAGTTCTCCTTCAAGATGGTAGAATGTTCTTCTGCCACCTTGCTTTTAAGAAAACAGTGCTTTTTTAAAAAATTTAAAAAAGTGCATTGCAGCTCACAACCTGCTAACGTATGATCTTCTAATCCTGTTTGTTGTACAGAGTTTTCCACCTCGCTCCTTAAAATCCTAGTAAGCTTGAAAAGGGACAGACAGCTTTACTTCTGTTGCTATGGGCACACTGCCACTGTTTCATTTCTCAGTTGTAAGCATAATGTACATCACTGGAGTTAAGAAACTGGCTCCAAAAGCTTCTGAAGATGCTTCTTGGTTTCCTGAACCAATATTCAGTTCACAGATTAACTACTTAAAATATTGCTGTCTTGTAGCTTTTCCTCTCGTTGGGGTCTCAAGAAGAAAGTATTAGAGACTAAATTGATAAGGTTGTTTGCTACCTGCTATGTTTTTTTTCCCCTAATGTTAGTGATATATCGTTTTAGGAAATAAACCTTTCTGCAGTTGTGAGACTTTAAATACAACTTATTCTTCTCAAGATTATCAAGCTGCATTACTAAATTTTGTACAAATATCTCTTTGATGGAAAGAAACATGCGTGTGGGTGGAAGACATCTCTTCCTTTCCTCCCTCATTGAGAATCTTCTAGAAAGGTGGGCTTTGTTTTGCTTGAGAGTGATTCCAACCAGAAGAATGTGTATTTGTCAGACGTGGTGAATTCTGCACAACAGGTTCAACTTACATCATGTTTGATTAATAAGCTGCTTATGTGCATTCTAATATTTGTATCTATTTTATATTGACTAACCCTTGAGTATCATGTCCAACATGGGCAAATGCCATGTGGCAAATTGCGCAACGTCAAAGGACTTCAAAGGTTCTTGCAAAACAGGTACACAGGTACTTCTGTGAGCCAGGTTGCTGAAACTAGAGTGTCTGCAAGGTTCCTCAGAACGAAGAGAGGATTCTTCAGATCATTTACTTGGATTGTTATCACTATGCTGTATGTGTATGGCTTTTTTAGATTGTAGTAAGATGTACCGTGTCTTCAACAAGAAATGTTGGATGTTTTGGATCTTAAACCTTGCAGTTCTATTTGCAGGGTTTTTTTGGTTTTGTTTTTTACAGGGTTGGGATAGCGAAGTTGTTTATTTGCTTTCTTCCCTAAAGCTCGTCTCCCACTTTCAGACATACATGTAAATGGGCCTTGCTTTCCAAAGAAGTAGTTTTGTCAAAGACATAGCATGGTATCCCCTCATAGATTGTGCTGCATAAATGCGGTTGCATATTTAAGCAGCGCTGTAAATGTTTCTACCCTGAAACAGGCTGTAGCTTTTCAATTTAAAACGTAAATGAAACTGGAATGCCTGAAGTCAGAATTGCCTATTTGTGATGGTGGACCTTTTAAACTTCACATTAATTGGGTTTTACTTAGAAAGGGAGAAGTACTTTCTCAGTGCCTTTCACGTCATCAAGTTGTTGCCTTGATTTCAGATATTATCCCTGCAGTACTGTGCAGTTGTAGCCTCTACATGTTGTACTTTGGAGAAAAGAGTGTTCTGTTGCCTCTGGACTTTTGTTCAGTATTTTTTCTTTGAAAAAGCAGAAGATAATTGCGACATAGTAGCGGTGTGCAAGTTTCAAAAAAAAATACTAGAAGTAGAATAAATGAAAATGGATGGGAATGTACTGTTCTTGTAGACAGAAATACTTCAAAGGTGGTAGCATGGAAAGTCTGTCACAGGCTGCCTATCACCAAATGCAAATAAGTGTGGGAAGCAGTGTCTGCATTGGGCAAGTACCTTTTGATTCTGTTGCTACAAATTATTAGGTTGTATTAACTTCTATTTATTCTTTAAAATGATGATGCTGATGTTTATAGGTCTCTGTCTCTATATAGACATTGTGTGTGTATATATAGCATTATTTAGTTAAGTTAGAGGGACTGACGATAGAGTGTTTTTCTCTGTTTTTTGCAGTAATCTTGATAGGATCATGGAGTAATTAAGGTCAGAAGGGACATCAGGAGTTCTTTAGTCCAGCATTTTCTTTAAGCTACATCAGCTATGACATCAGGCTAGGTTACTGTTTGGCCTCTAAAACTGCTGAAGAAAGAGACCAGGAAACTTATTTGAGCAACTAGTTCCACCAGTTGCCCCTATTATAAGAATCCACCCAAGATCAGAATCCACCAATGCACCCTATTTATTATAAGAAAAATATTTCCGTACATTCAGTCAGAACTTCTACTTTTGAAAAGGTTGATGGGCTAAAATAAATTGGAGACCAGTGCAAATCTCTTCTTCATTTCATTACCAGATTTTTCTCCTATTAAATGTGCGTCTCGAGAAGGTGTAGTTACATTCCGTTTTCCGTATTTCCAAGTAACAGATGGCTTCTTCACATTTATATGCCTGTTTTTTCAGTAGACTTTTAACTGTGCTTGTGTAAGACAAAATAGTAACCTAGCAGAACCTTTTGTGAATAAGAAAAAAAAAAAAAAAAGATAAGCAAAGCCATAGTTCTATCAATATTCTTGAAGTAAGCAGAAAGTCAGCGTTTTAAGGCATCTGCTTTGATATGCATATGCTTTTCGGGGTCCCTCTAGTGGTCAACATTGTACTTAAGAAATGGATAAAGTTTAGGAAAGTCCCTCAAATTGCATCCTCGCAACATAAACTTTTGACAGCAAATTTTTGTCACAGAGCTGTACATTTAAAATATGACACTTTCGGAAAAAAAAAATAAAAAAATTGTATTTAAAGACACAGTTAATTGTAATCAGACATCATTAGTAAAATATTTCAGCTTATAGCTTCTTAGTTCATAGCAACAAGAAAATCCAACTTTCTTCCAAGCCTTGTAAGTTCTGTGGTCTTAGTCCTTCAAAGGGTAAGTGTCAGGACTCTCAAAAAATACTTTTCTAAATGGAAACATTTGAGGAATATTTTTTTCTTTCAGAATATTCAAACCAACTCACTGTGGTTTCATTTTACAACCATAAAAAAGCATCTGAGTAGAAGCATAAGATCAGTAGACTGCTGTCAACACAGTTTTGGGATATAAAAAAAAATAATGGGAAAGATAGTGTCTGTAAGTCCTTACTACTTAGCCAATTGCAAGAAATAACTTTATGTATATATATATGTATATATATTTACATAATATACCTATGGATGTATAGGGAGAGAAAGTGTCAACACTTCAGGGAACAGAGAACAAAAACGAGGCAAAGGACAAAAATATTTTGATATACATTTGTTTTTACCATTTAAAAACTTATTTTAAAAAATACCATTAAAAAAAAACAAAAAACAAACAACTTAGTGTGGTGTTTCTCTGTAATTTTCTGAAGATTTCACCTGAGTGACATTCACAGGTCACATTTTGAATGTGAATTGTGCTCGTGCACCCTGCACTCACACTGCAGCTGTGCACACTCACAGGAGTTGTGTGACCTGTGATTCTTGGCTTATATTGTTTTCACCAGAGATAATTTTGCAAATACATACATAGTTGTTATTTTTAACTGAATAGTTGAATAGTTAACGAGAAGAGTATTATGATTTACAGTTTGCCTTCCCCAAACTGCAGTAAATTTTTTTGGAACTTTCAGTTTAAATTAAACCATGTATAGAATTAATCACTTAACTGTGTTTCTCTAAAAAAAAAAAAAAAAAAGTTTTTGAAGTAAAAAGTGAAGGTGCTACTTCCCCCCCTCCCCAAATACATGTAGATGAAAGGAATGGGCAAGTTGATAATATTCTCTGCTTTTAATAAGGTGGAAACACTGATCTACACCTGTCCTTATTCCCTGATTAATGTGCTCCATGTGCTAAATGAGAGGCCCACCGCTGGGTCTCTGGTAGCATCAAGAGAGATGGTCTTTAAAGAGGAAAAAAAAAAAAAGTTTCATGTAGTTAAGAACCAAATCAGAAATGGTTTAGTCACCCAGGTTCCTGTGTTTCATATCTGGGAAGGGTTAAGGATATTTTTGTTTCAATGCACCATTTGACTTGACTTCCTTTCATTTAGAAAATAAATGCCAACTCTTAAAATGCTTTAAAACATGGTAGCTGATCTAAGTTGTTGAATCTCTGTTCTGTTAAACTGAACCTTGTGGTAAAGTGTGACTGTGGTGTCATGGGCTTTCTTCCTCTGAATTGCTCTACACATATTCAGTCTTCACTGAATTGAGGTGCCCCCCTTGATAATGCAGTGAGCTTTTAACATCTTGATGTTCTTGTCCCCATTCCTTTCAGGAGACAAATGACTCCGTTGAGGTATGCAGCTAGAAAAGGCTCTTCTCGTGTTGTTGGTCTTCTTGTTGCTCATGGATCACACATAAATGCCCAAGATGAAGATGGATGTTCAGTAAGTGATTTACTTCCATGTATTTTAACCAAAGTTTAAAAAACAATGTACAAACAGGAGCCCATAAGCTTGCTTCTAGTGTACCTTCCTCAAAAATGCTCAGTTACACTCCTTTACCACCACCTTGAGATTGTTTTGCACCATCTTTGTCTCCGGATTCTGCCATGTAAGAAGTTACGCAGGTTGTATTATTGATTGAACCTCTATTCTTTTTGGTTTTTTTTTTGCTTCATATGTAAACTTGATAAAAACAAACTGTTCTTATGCAGGCATTAATATGGGCAGCACACCATGGACACAAAAATGTCATTTTTAAGTTGCTGGAGCTTGGAGCTGACAAAAATCTACAGACTAAGGATGAGAAGACAGCAGCAGAGCTAGCAAAAAATCAATAAGCATTCAGAGGTACTCCATTTCTTTTTGAGATGCAGATTCTGAGGGTTTGGGTTTATTTTGTTTGTTTACTTGTTTGAGATTGCCTCAGAAATTTTCTGTAGAAGTGTTACTTTAATAACTAAACTGTAGCAGCTAGTTGCATACATCTCCTGTTCCATCTGTGCTGACTACTTTCTGTTACATCCCAACTTAGGACAGTGCTTTGAGTGCTTTTATGGGTTTGTTTTTGTGTGTGGGTTTTTTTTTTTTTTTAAGTTTGGGGATAATTCCCTTTTTTCTGTAGAAGCCTTGACTTTGAAATACAGATTTGACAAGGGATTATTAATGTCGGTACTGTTGATATGAGAAGTAGTAAAAGAACACGTTTCCTTCTGTATGCCCAAGTGTGTGAGAGAATGTAGATATTAAACTATTTTGCAGTGTGTAGTTTGTGGTTGAATTTGGAAGGTAAAGGCTAAAGCTAAAAGGGGGAAACGGGGAGTCAGCGGTATGTACTGGCTGCCTTCCAAACCTGTTCCCGGAAGGGAAGACAGTCTAAAACAATATAAATTGGTCATCAGATCATTGGAAGAGCAGCAACTCATTATCAGCGTAAAGAGAGCTGCTGAAAACAGCATATATTTTCCTAAAATAAATCTGCTTACCGCTGTTGCTGGATGATGCAGGACTACATTACATACATTATTTTGCTTTGCATCAGTTCAGTGTTGAGCTTTGATTTTGATTAATTCAGAAATGCTCTTGATAAGCTCTGTGGGCTTAGTCTTAACTCCTCCCTGTAGCTCTTTTAGAGAGAAGAGATGGCAGATGTTTGATGTTCTCCGTGTGTAGTAACTTCTGATAGATCTCTTTGTAGTCTTACTTCTGTGTATTTCTTTACACGTTTTAAGTTAAATACTAATGAATTCATTTTGGCTCTTTCAGATTTATAGTTTACTCTCTTTGGCTGTAAATCCCTCGCAAGGGAAATACCATGAAACGATGAAGCAAGAGGCTAGCTACAAATTTCTGACAGCTGTCCCTGACCACAGAGTTGGGTAAATAAAGTCATAGCATAACTTCAGTTTATAAACGTTCCTGAGAGATTGTATTTGTTCATATCAATGTGATTAAGTTTTCCTGATATGTGTTGCGTATATTTTGGAGCACTACCAAGAGGCCACAGTAAGTATATTAACATACTCTAAATTTTTCAAGACCGCATAGTTCCTTTGCATTATGAACAGTGAGCATGCTCTAGATCTTTCCTGCCTCTGACTTGATGTAAAGTAGAGGCAGAGTCCAGTGCCACTTCACTTTTTTTCAGTTTGATAGTACTGAACGTTTGATAGACTTCATTTGTTAGTAAATTTCAAATGCTTTCACTGAATGCTTGTTTTCAGTGCTAGTCCACCAGGACGAGCCGTGCCCCCATTCTTTCTTCCACGTGTATTCAGACACTTGGGTGGCCTTGAGAAAGTCCAAGTGAAGTACACGTGACTCTGAAGCATGCAGGTGTTCTTTGGGTGAACTCAGCACCTGCTTCAGCAGCCTTGAAGATGTCTGACACTGTTTTGTTCCAGAACGTAAAGCTAAGAAGTCCTCAAGAAACCATCCACTTTTCCTCCTTGAGTGACATAGTTTTCAGAAGACAACTTCCAGAGCCCATAGTCTCTGTGCAGTCTGTTCTGGTTGGTCAGGTTGGTTTTCAGCGTCCCTGCTCAGCATGTCATGCTGAATTTGAAATGCCACAGTTCCGTACCATGGGGCTGGCTGTAGGTCACAAGCTAGCAGTTTGGAGGTAGTGTCAGGGCACCTCGTTTCAGACAGAGCCTCATCAGGTTTGGTCATTAGAGAAACGTTTACCTCAATAAGGTTTTCATCTTCTGGGGCTTCAACTGTGGTCATCTCAGAGGCACTTCGTAGAGCTGCAGGGTGAAGGTTTGGCATTGTAGAGTCAGTTATCTGCACTGTCCTCTTTGTTCTTGCATGTTACCAATAAAATAAGGAAGTGACTTAGCACCATGCAGCCGTTATCCGAATTCTGTGCTGTTGAAACTTGATGGCAGCCAGAGGGCATTGAACCAGTGTCTTGGTAATCTTGATAACCTTTTAAAATACGACACTGAAATCCTGTAGCCCACTTAAGAAATAGTTTGTGGCAGCCAGATGTCCGACCATGCAGATCTAGCTCTGTATTACGCAGTTTTGCACTTGTAGGATTTCACTGCATCAGTAGGCTTTTTATAAACTCTACCAGTTTTGTCTGTATCGTTTCTGGTGATTAGTGTGACTCCTGGTTCCAGAAAGCAGTCCCTCTGAGTCTAATGGCTGTCTGGCTGTTAAGCTGTGTATGTGGGAATGGTTGTTTATTAATTTACACACACACACTCACAAAGAGTGAGTTTTTTTTTCATCTGATGACGGTCAAGAAGTATGCTGTACCTTTGTTTACTCCATCGTATTTCCTCAAGCTGAGTACCCTCCTTCCTGCCGTTTGTCTGCATAATTTTCATCACAGGCGTTGCCAGTTAGCTTCTAAATTTCCGTTTCCTCTCCGATCTGCTCCTTATGCATCATCTTGTGCTGGGTATCAGTTGTGCCCCACAGTGCGTGGTCAGTGAGCATAACCTGGCATCGATGCTGCTGTCATTCGTTTCCGATCATTAGGTAGGGAGGGTAGCTTCAGTCGTTGCCTTCTGCTGTCCTGAACGAGAATTGTCCTGGCTCCAGGTGCCTGTACTGTTCAAGGAGGCAAACACCTGTCAAGAATTTGCTCTCTCAAACTTCAGATTACTCTTCTCTAAAGAGTCGTCATCTTGTTGAGAGGCTTTCAAGTGAACATACAGATGCTGAATAAATGTCCTTTCCTTGTCCTACAAGCCTTGAGTTACCAAAGGACTCCCCAGACCTGTGCCAACTAGATGCTTTGAGTGCCTAAATAAAAAGCAAAATTGATCACTGCAGGTTGTTCACCTCCTCGCCCCAGTTTGGAGGCAACAGTGGGGGAGGGATAATAACACAATTCTGCCCAACTTCGTGGTAGGGGCAGTATCTTTAAACTCTGCTAAAACTATTTTAAACGCTTCTGTGTTTTGTCTGCTGAAATTGACCCTGTATGCCCACAGAATTACCGAGAATTCTCAGTGTGCAAACTTGAAATGTTTTCTTACGTATTCAGAAAAAAAAAAAAAAAGTTTTTGTTTTTTTTTAACAAATCTTAACGGTAGGAACTTAATGACTTTGCCTCCTTTTCACATCGAAGGCTAACCTTAATTTCAAGGCCAACAAGAAGACAGAGCAAACTGTCTCTAAATTCAAGATGTTGGTGAAGGATTGCTATCGCACTTGCAGCAGTCCTTTTTGATTTTTGTATCATTTGCTTTTTAGTTTAATTCTGTTCATTACAACTGTTCATCTAATTGTTGAAAGCTGTTTAAAACTTTTAAAATGTTTATATCTTTTACTAATGTGGGGAATTCATGATTTATCTTTGTTTATAAATGTTAAACTGTGAACTTACTCTGAGTGACTCTGCTTCATCAGTCTAACTTCTGAACAGTAGCCTTCCGACAACAAATTTGTTACCAGACTGATTTCTGCTATCTTTAATACAGGCATTCCTGTTTTCTTGATAATGTTTTTTGGTTTAAATGGAGCTGGTTTAAAGGGGTAACAGCTGTGGGCTGAATCCAGTTTGTATGAAGATTAGCTGATAGGAACACACAGTTTATCTTAAACCGCACTTAGAAATTTTTCAGGCTTTTGTGAGCAACTTTAAAATTCATTCGGAACGTTTTGCTACTAAACAGTGACATTCATTTATGAAAGTAGTTTTCTTCAGGCTCAACTCTACTTTCTACCTAATAGACCAGAAGCAAAATTATGAAGTTTTGCTAGGTTAAGCTGTACTCCCTGATGCTTTTGAGAGACTACTGTTATCAGTAGGTACGCGCAGGTTTAGGTCTGACAGTGCTTTGTCTGGGATTTTTTCTGCAATGTATTGTTGAGGATATCTTTTGGCTTTAATTTTTCCACTGTTTTCACCTTGAATCTGATTACATTTACAGTTTCTATTCAGCTTTGGATGACATGGAAGTATTTTTACATGGTCCTGGTCTAGAACACCTAATAGGATTATTGAAGGTAAGGTTGTGATTTATCTGCTGTCTGGAAAGGAATTCTTGAAAACAGGTGCACCTTAAGCATCAGCAGAAGTTGTGTTGTTTCTAGAATATTAATTCAAATAAGTGTCTTAATTTCAAGTTACATTTGGAGTATAAAGGTCCGCTGCAGTGGATTAGTTTTGGTTATTAGTCAGTCATAACACATGATGTTTCTAAACTGGAGGACTCCTGTGTTTCGTTGGTAATGGTGTTGTGCAGTTGTTCTTGTATCTGTCTCCTGGTTTCAGTTAGCACAGAATTAATTTTCTTCCTAGTAGCTGGTGGAATGCTGTGTTTTGGCTTAGGATGAGAAGAGTGCTGATAACACCCCGATGCTTTAATTGTTGCAGAGCAGTGCTTATACTAAGCCAAGGACATCTCAGCCTTTTGCTCTGTCCTGCCAACGGGCAGGCTGGGGGTGCAGTAAGAGCTGGGAGGGGACAGACCCAGGACAGGTGACCCAAACTAGCCAAAGGGGTATTCCATACCATCTGACGTCATGCTAAACAATATATAGGGGTGGCTAGCTGGGGGGAGGGGGCCGGACTGCTCGGGGTTAGGCTGGGCATCGGTCAGCGGGTGGTGAGCAATTGCATTGTGCATCACTTGTTTGTACATACTATTACTTTCGTATTATCACCATTGTATCATTATTATTATTATTGTTATTATTATTTTTGTTATTATTATTTTCCTGTCTTATTAAACTGTCTTTATCTCAACTCACAGGCTTCACTCTCCATTTCTCTCCCCCGTCCCAGAGAGGGAGGGGGGAGGGTGAGCGAACGGCTGCGTGGTGTTTAGCTGCCGGCCGGGTTAAACCACAACATCATCAAAAAGACTTATTTGTACAGTATGCATTTAGAACATACATTGTTCTCAAAAACAGAAAATAATTGTTCGATTAAAGACAAAAAATATGGCAGCACTTGAGTTAAGGCAAGCGCTGCGTGGTTTTATAGAAAATGTCTTGACACGTATTCTAGGCATCTGACCTTGAGACTAAAATCATAGGCTATGTTTACCTGCTGTTACATAAAGATTTTACTTGCCATTTGTTCAAAGTCATTCTGTGAGAAGGAAGATCAGTCATTAAGTCATAGCAAAACTAACATAGTAGAAAATGTGGAACTGATTGATTATAAACTCACAGAGTGTCTAGCACTGTTTAGCCACTGGTGTTTTGACAGCCATGAATTCTTTTTAAAAGCGATTATATTTTGAAAACGTTACTTCCATTTAGAAGTATTTGGAAATGGAAATAACATGTCACTGCGACAGATAGGAATTCCATGAAAATGTTTTTTAAGATCCATATTGGTATAATAAAGAAGTTTTGCAAATATTTTTCCCTCTTTTCCATGTCCATGAAATACTTAATGTAGGAATTCTGGAGGGATTCTCAAGAAAGATAACTTATTTTGTGACAGAAGGTGCTGCAACTGATCCTAGCTAGCTAAAAAGATACCTTTCTAGGCGGAAAGAAGCAAATACGAAATGAAAACTAATGGAAATAATTCCAGAACAGGTATAAAGCAGTATAATCCTGGTTGGGGATAACACCGAGTGAGAGCTGTGTTCTGCTTTTATTGTCACACTTTTCCTTCTCCTTCCTGACAGATCATCTTGGTGGAACAAGTCCTAGGTGCAGAATGGTTCCCAAAGAGTTGAGTCTGCAGACTCGCCTGTCCTCCCGTGTAGACGCAGCAGTAGATCAGGCCCCAGGCTGCCAGCTCTTTTTAGGAAGCAGTGTTCTGCCAGTAGGCAGCTTAATATTGCTTGTTTGGGAGGGGTGTTGTAGGGAAAACTTGAGAGCTGAATGCAAACGATCTGTGGGCTAAATGCAGCCTCTTCTTAGACACTCTCCCAGATACAATGAAGTCTTGCGACAGGGAAATGCCAGCTTAATATTGTCTTTTGTTTTGGGCCTGATGTTACTCACTAAATAGCTTACAGGTAGCTGAAACTGTTCTAGTGGTGACAAAGGCACTTCTCAGAAGTTTGAGAAGTTTGGATGATCTTACCTATTCCTCCCCCCCCCCCATCCTCTTCTTTTGCCCAGTCAATGGCAGCAACTTTCTGGCTTGCACCATGCCTTGGAACTGACACTTTGGGTTCCTTCTGACGCGTAAAGTAAAATGAATCGAGTCACTCTCACATGGGAGATCTAAAATCTTGGCATTGAAATTAGCCTCTTAAATTTCTATATCCTTTCCTTCACTCTTCGGAGACTGATCAAACTGATTTTCAGTGATCTTCCTGTCTTTTGAGCACTAAGTATACTTTTTTCTTAAAAGCATAACGTAAGGTATTTTAGTCTTGAAGGAAAGTATTGTCAGATCCAGGTCCCAAGTCAGTAACAGATTCTTCATTTTTCACTGTGCTGGAGACTAAATGACTCCATGAGAATACTACTATTCCCCCCCACACCCCCCAGTCCTTTTCAAAAATGTCATCTCTGGTAATGAATATTGATAATTCAGCATGAAGTTGACTAAACTCTCTGCTCCTGGTATTGGAAGACTGATCTGTATGCCCACGTGAACAGGAAGGCAGTGTTCTGGGGTTATTAGGCATACTCCGGTACAGAATTTCTTAAGTTGATTAAAAACAGGATTGGTGAGAGTGAGGAAATAGAAGTGGAGGTCAACAGAATTGTTTCACAAAAACTTTCGGATGACGGTTTTTCAGTTTTGTGTGCAGCTGAATATTCCAGGTAACTTCAGGATTTGCTACCCTTTCGGGTCGGGGGAACAGACAATCAAAGTGTGTAACTTGCCAAGATGTTAAATGTAGTATTACGTGTTAAACAGGATAGATTTATTTTTTTTAATATAATGAAACTGCATGTCTGATTCATTTACTAGCCAATGCTGGAAATGCACAGATGATTTTAGCTTGCAAAAAGACATACCCTTCTACAAGTAATAGAATATGGTTTTTGTTTTGGTAGTGGAAACGAATGCCTCAAGTTCCTTCAGAAGCTGAATAAAGAGTGTAGCAAGCTGAATGTTCCTCTGCAGACCGTAAATAATCATTTCCTCAAAAATTCTCACAAGGTATTCAACTAAAGGGAAAAAATAATTGATTTAGAGTTTGGGGAATAACATTATTCTATGCCGTAAAATGAAAAATTTGAATACTAATCAAATGTCTTGATCATTGTTAGTTTTCTAAAGCTGTCCAATGTTTTTTCTCTAAAGTAAAAATTATTTTTAAAATCTTATTTCAAAGAGTTAAGCTGCCCTATTAAAGAACGTAAAGCTGTTACTCAGTGTTTCCCCTGATAGGGAAATTCAGGTGACAGAAGCTTCCCACAAAGGCTGAAAGAGTAGTAGATCAATGTCATGCATAAATCATACAATGAAAACCTAACATTAAAGAAGGTACATTTTTGTTCTGATGCTGCCTTTTATACTACATCAACTAATTAGCATTTGTCGTGGTTCTGCTCGAGTGGGCAGCCGAGCTCCACCACAGCCGCTCTCTCACTCCCCTCCTCAAAGAGGAATGGGGAGAAAATATGTGAAAGGGGCTCAAGGATTGAGATAAGGACGAGAAAATCACGCAATAATTAGTGTAACGGGCAAACCAGACTCAGCATAAGAAGACAGTAAGATTTATTACTCATTACTAACAAGCTAGAGAAGTGAGAAACAAAGGAAAGAAACCAAAAGCACCTCCCCCCCCATCCACCCTCTTCCACCTCCTCCCCCCGAGCGGCGCAGGGGAACGGGGGAATGCGGGTTATGGTCAGTCTACAGCACTTCTTCTCTGCCGCTCCTTCTCGGTCACTCTCGTCCCCTGTGCTGTGGGGTCCCACCCACGGGATGCAGTCCTTGACGAACTGATCCGGCGTGGGCTTCCCACAGGCAGCAGCTCTTCCAGAACTGCTCCAGATATGGGTCCGTACCACGGGGTCCATCCCTCAGGAGAAAACTGCTCCAACCTGGCTCCCCTACGGGCAGCAGCTCCTGCCAGATCACCTGCTCCTGCGTGGTCTCCTCTCCACGGGCTACAGGTCCGGCCCGGAATCTGCTCCGGCAGGGGTCTTCCACAGGCGGCAGCCTCCATCGGTGCAGGGCCACCTGCTCCACCGTGGTCTCCTCCACGGGCTGCAGCGTGAAACCCTGCTCCACCGTGGTACTCCATGGGCTGCAGGGGGACATCCTGCTTCACCATGGTCCTCACCACAGGCCACAGGGGACTTCTGCTCCAGCGCCTGGAGCACCTCTCCCCCTCCTTCTACACTGACCTTGGCACCTGCAAGGCTGTTTCTCACTCCCTTGACTCTCCCGGCTGCTGTGTGGCGCAGCAGTTTTTTCCCTGTCTTAAATATGCTCTCACAGAGGCGCAAAACAACATCGCTTATTGGCTCAGATCTGGAAAACAATGGGGCCCTTCCCAAACATGGGGCGGCTTCTAGATCTTTCTCACAGAAACCACCCCTATGGCCCCCTGCTACCAAAGCCTTGCCACGTAAACCCACTACAGCATTAAGTTATAATTTGCAGTAATTCTGGCAAATAACTGACTCTCAACAGATAGCACTGCAGTGGGCGCCAACTGAAAGATACATTGAAGTCTGCAGAGACATGGTTTCCAGTGTTGAAAGGTTGGGAGAAGAAGTTGCCAGACTGAAGGACCTCGTGGAGAAGGTGAGCGTGAGGCCGTTCCATTGCACACAGAAACCTGGCTGCAGTATCTTGAACGTGACAGCCATCAGTGAAATGTTTTGTACCTTGGTCTATCTCAGCCTCTTCAGTTTGATCACTGCATCCACCACTCGTACGCTTCTTTCCACCTCTCCATAACAGAACGTGACATAATCTAGGATGTTACAGAACAGTGTGCGGAGTCTCCAAATGAAGGAGTGGTCAGTCTTATTCTTTCTGCCACAGTAAGGAACTGAGTGGGAAGTACTCCTGTGCATGTGGACAGCCACTGTGGCATAAACCACTCTGAGTACTTCTTAATTAAGGAATCTTTTGTTTGGAGTTATTGACTCCCAAGGAAGATAGTGCAGTTTTATGGATTGAATAGGAGGCATCCCAGATAACTTTGCAGAGTGACAAAAGAAGAGGGTGGGAGAGGTCAAGGCTAGATGTTAGCACCACATCAGTCCTTCTCAGACCAACACAATGATACGCTCTTGTCAAGTGGGGTCACGTTAAGTAACAGGCCAGTAAAATGAATGGCTGCTCTGGTAGAGTAAATGGAGCATCAGTGTCAGAAAGGAATCTGTTACTGAATGAAGCCATGTGGAACTCGGACCTTAAGTATAATGCTACTAATGCAATTTCCGGGAGTTCAAGTAAATTTAATGTAATATAACAGCTTTCTCCTAATAAATCACTTAGCACCAAATACATTTAAGAGGTCCTAACAAAGAACTTTTTAGCTCTTTATGTTCCTTTGTTTGCATATGCAGAAGTCAACTGCGTGTATAGATCTGCCTCCTGCGTGTGCAGGCCAGTTGCGAGGGGTCGGGAGGACCTGAGTTAGGTGCTACTTGCACTTGCTGTCATCTGAATTTGAGGTTTTATAGCTGCGAAGATGCAGCAGGGTGTCTCTACACCCACTGTTAAACAGGCATTAAACGTTAGCCGTCCGGTTATTTTGAAAAATGTAGTAATTCCTGTTCTACTAAAATACCGTAGTGTGTTATGAACGTGACTGAGGAAGACTAATAGGAAGCATTCTAATATTAAATTTTCAGCTTTCTAGAGCACTGAAACATTTTATTATGAAAAGTGTCAATGTAAATGAACCAGAGAAACCCTTTAGACACTAAGTTAGTACAAATTCCCTTAAAATCTGCACAGTGGTATTTCCTAAGCTTCGGCATCACAAGATTTTGGCTTTCAGTATGCGTGAAGTATATGGCATTCAATTTTTGAAAGTCTAGTAGTAAATGAGGTAGCCTGCCAAGTGTTACATACAAAGGGAGGGAAGCAGGAATTAACCAGTGTTTCACTTCATGACAAGGCTGCACTCAACTTCAGTGGGCATTAGAGCAGGCACTTGTATGGTACTTTCCACTCTCCCTTAGAGCTTTCAAAGACTCCTTGAAATTAATCAGATACGTGTTTAACTGTTGTTTTAATAAACAGTTTTTCTAGTTATTAAATAGCAGAAGTCCTGGTTAAAACATTTGATGATTGGAGTTTAAATGTTTTGGTGTTGATTTTTGTAGTGTCTACTAGTATGTTTTACTCCAGAAGAATTCAGTTTGTAAACAGTTTGTTTTCTAGTGTGTATTGCTTACAGAATCATTGCACATGAGATAAGATAAAGGCTTGCACACAGTGATTTCTGTTGAAGTAGGGCACGGACACACAAATAGTATCTCAGTCCTGAGAATCTAGGCTTATGCTTTATCACAGACTTCAGAAGCTTTCACATTAACTCTTTTTCTTTGTTGTACCTTTTTCACACTAACTTTTTTTCTTTGTTGTACTTTCAACATGAACTGAACATCTGCTTCAGCATGAACAGAAGAATGACCCCAGTCAAGCGGTATTCCCAGAAAAAGCACCCACCTTGGAAAAAAGATTAGTAAAAATGGGAGCAATAACAGTGCTTGCGTTTGTTTTTTTCTTCTTTATAACTAAGTTAATGGCAAAGAAAGAGTGACTTTTTTTAGTGCTTTGAATACTTTTTGGAAAATTTGGTCGCATTATGCTTCTATTCGGCATATGTAACTGAGCTGAATTCATATGAAAATTACTGGTTTCTCATCATATCAGTAATATTTGCATCCAGTACACACTTCAGTCTAGAATCAAAAATAAAATCTCCTTATGTAAAAGCGTATTAAGGTTTTTTTCTAGTATAGACAGTTTGTACAGAATCTCCTCGAAGTTGCTTTTTTGCCACAAGGTTGTAACTATTACTTACTGATTACTAGTTTTGTTTTCACTTGCTGTTCAGTTGCTGTCATAGCTGCTTCCTGCTGTTCACAAACGTAAACATAAGCAAATAATACTGTATTGTTTATGTTGCATGCTCGTATTTAAAATGATCACGATGGTGGGTTTTGCCTTTTTAATATTAAGTATCATGATTTCTATGTTGAGAAAGATCTTTTGCAGTACAGATTCATATGAAAAACTTTCTGCTAAGGTGTACCTGTTTTGTTGTTTTGTTTTGTAACAGCCACAGGACAGCAAAGACCTTTTTACATACTGTCTGGAAAGTATTTTCCAGCTGAACCGTGCTAATCAATTTATGCCTGAGATCTGTTTCCTCAGGCATAATTACTTCTATTAACAGTTTCATCCCAAAAAGGATTATAAGGATGCTAAAAGGATTGTAGGAATCCTTAGCTACAAGAATGCAGGCACCTTAGAAGGAGTATCAGCATGTTTCTTCTTGATCTGATGAGCTTTCACTACAGCAGCTTTGTGGTGAGTGATTCTCTCTTAAGGTTTTCTCCATTTAAAGAGTTGTTTGTAGTTCTGCAGCAAAATATTAGTATCTGTTTTTCATCTGATTACCATGCTAGCTATGTTGCAAAAAAGGAATTGGTGTAAGTCATCCAAATCACAGTTACATCTTTGTGGACTTCAATAAAGACATGTAAAAGTGCTGAAGGTTTGTAAAGGGACATTCTTGCTAAATCAGCTGGAGAACAGTAGTCGCAATGGGGTGTATACTTCAGCATTTTTTGGAGGTGTGTGCAGTCTTTCTTGGATGCTCCCTCCAGAGACTAGAAATGAGAAGATAAAAAAAAAGACTGATTGCCTACTCTGGGCTGTTACTGTTGCTGTCAGTTGTTTTCTGCTTTTTGTTTTAGAAAATTACCTCGAGTGTTAGTATGTTTGCTTGTTATTGCAGTTGTCTTACCTCCTTTCCTCCCAGCTTTCTCATTCAATGCAAGGAACATCCTACAGAGTGATGAAGCTAGAAGCAAATATAACTTTTTTTTCCATTCTGTTCCCAGCTTTGGATCAGAGAGGGTAAGTCATAATCCCCACCACCACCATCTACCAGCAGAAGTGTAGAAGTGCATAATCATATCAGCATCCTGACTTGAAGCAGCAAAGAAAAGGAAATACTTTAAAAATAGTTCTGTTTCTTTGTATTACCGTGTAATTAGTTCAGAACTAACAAAACACATCACAAAAGGAAAAATCCATGAAAATGGAAAATACAAAAATCTATGAAGTGCAGTTTTAACTGTCACACACAATGTTGTACGAATAGCACTCCTCTGATTACCGCTAAATGCAGTTCAAAATACTCAGATGCAGTTGTCCAGTGATGAGGTAGCTGGCAAATATTAGTAGAAGCTTGATGCATAACAACATCTTTTTGTTGTGTTTTTTTTTTTTTTTCCATTTGGGGGGGGGCTGTTGTTGTTCGTACCTATTGTAAAATACCAACGAGGGGAAATAAAAGTATGATACTTGCTGATAAATGGCTTCTAGTTTGAGAAGTAGAATAGAATATCCTTGGCAGAAATGAGTCAAAGGTTTGAACATTGTACTAAACTAATTTTGTATAGGTAAAGTCGTCAGAAAGGTGATACCTTAAATTCCAAATGTCTTTATTTTACTACTACACTTCCATTTTACTATTTCATTTACTACATTTTACTTCATGTATTGAATTTCTTTACTACTTCATTTACTATATTTTACTATGTATTTCATTTTGCTACTACAATTACTACTATTCCACTACTATTGGTACACTGGGCAAGCTTTTTTTTGTTTCTGTAGACCATGTTATGGATCTAATAAGAGAAACTGAATAAGCAGAGGACTGCTTTTTCCTAGTAATTTGTACAATAAAAGCAAAATGCATTTCTATTTTAAATAATAGTGTCTATTTCATTGTATAGTTGCTTAAATCGACCGCCTCCGTAATGAAGCGGGTAGTGCTTTTCTACAATAAGCTGCTACTTAGGCTGGCCTCCAAAATGCATTTGGGAGAAGCCCATCCTATTATTGTCTTATGAATCACTTATTTCAAGTGTTTATAAAACCACAATTGCAAGCACTTGATTGTGGGCAGCATACAGGCTAAATACAGATTTTCTGCCATCAGCATCCTTAGTGTGTTGGAGTGTTCATAAAGGCATAAACCACATGTGAGAAACAAGCATCTTAAACCTGATGTTGGACTCTAAACGTCTCATTTTATTGGTCAGTCATTAATTGTGCTAAGTAAGTAGGATATGATAAAAGCCAAATAAACGAAGGCTATTTTAACCTACCACATCATTTAAAGAAAAAAAATAAAAAAATCTTTAGATTCAAAATTCAGGCTTAAACAGTGAACTTCAAGGTCCTGTGTTCACTTTCATGTTGTTTCAGCGCCTTTTTCAAATTCCTTGCTTGAGAAGGTATCACAATATGGTTGTGATAGGGCAGGAAGCCAAGAGATTACTGCAAGATCTGGCCCCTGAGCCACGCAGTCAAAAATTCAAACCCCCCAGCAGCACCTGGTGCGGGAGCCTTCAGATGAAAATCACCCTGCTGAGAGGCCTTCTTCTGTAAGTCACCACATTAAAGTCATTATCCTGGCATAGTAGTAATGCGACGATTAGCACATCTATGAGGGGATGGGAGGAAAATGCTAAAGAGCTGCGCATACATTAAGCAGGTAAGCCTCACAAGCCTGTGAGGTATTATTTTTCCTTTTACAGTAGTGCAGATCGGGGCGCAGGGGGTTGAGTGGCTTGGACCTGGGGCCAAATCCGACAGAGTTGCTTAAAGATGCAGCTAGGTTCCTACTTAGCCTTGCAATATCATGGGATACCTAACTTCTCTTGGTACTGATGAATATTCAGGCAGTGGCCTTTTCTGCATCTTTAGACTGCTGTGTCCAATGTAGGGCCTTGGATGATCCTGTAGAGATCTGAAGGAACCTGAAGGATTTCAGTTCTCACTTGTCCAGGATAAAATACAGGTTGAGAATGAGAGATTTGGTGTTCCATCTGTCTTCCCGGGATTTGGGTTTTGCCCCACTTTTTAAGTTTACTTGTGGAATACCTGTAGTAAGGCATTGCCTTTGTTTTCCTGTTTGGTTCCATCTGCAAATAGCAGACACTAATTTTGGCCGTGTGCTTTCTTAAACTGGGAAATGGTGGGCCTTTTTTTATTATCACATTCTCTGTTGACTTAGAGAAATGCTGTGTTCATGGCTTTTTGTTGGTTTTGGGTTTGTTTGTTGTTTTTTTTTTCCCCTCTTCTAACCTTGCCCAACCCCCTTCTTGGGGACCTTAAACTTGAGCTATGCAGTTTGTTTCTCCTCTTCCTTTCCTGGAGCCTCTTCCAACAAGCTGTAACTTTTGCTAAGAGTTGCAGGTAGGTGTCTACTTAAGTTGGCTTTCTCCAGACTCAGTTCTGGTAATTGTGCAAAAGTTACAGGTGCTCTTACCCAAATAAAGCTGTGCTGCTGGTAAAGTACTACAAATGCTGCTTTGGACCTTACGCGATGGACAATTTTGAGTCTTCAGCCTTGCTAGTGATATAGTATAAACTCACTTTAGGATAGAATAAAACTTGTGGTTAAAATTTATCAAGGACAAATTAAACGACATCTTGTTATCTGTAGACCTTTTGTTATGTTTAAGCATCTTGTTATTTGAAAACATCCCAGTATCTGTTAACCGTTAGTCAGGCTGAGACTTGAGATAACTTGAGTCAATTGTCTTGTCTTGTTAACTGAGACTTCCTGTTATCCGCCGACCCTCAGTTAAACTGAAAGCCAACTCAGCATTTTTACAGCTTGGAAAACAACTGATTAAGCAAAGGTGAAAAGTGCATTACGAGGAAGACCTACAGCCTTCCTCCCAAAGACCACTGCCCACATCCTGGAGACCCCGGCCCACAATTCTTGGAAGGCTTTGCGCAAGCGCAAGGACTGATAAGCTAATTAGCATACGAAGCGAGGGTAGGCAGGGCTAGGTAATGAATATGTATGGGTGCTAATTGAATATTCATTGTTTCGCTGTATAAATATGAGCTATTTTGTCACTTCGAACATGCACGATAGGCGGAAGGATCCCCCGTGCATCCAGCGCTGCAATAAAGAATATACCACTTAAAGAAATTTGGCTTTGATCTTTAAATCACTAGACAAGTCTCTTGGGAATAAATCCATCTTACGCTGTGTCATGAAAGGGGGACTGAGTGATCCACATCTCATCTGTGTTCACCGTCTGTTCCCTTGTAGCCTGTTCAGGTATTTGTAAGGGAGGTAATGTCTACACAGCCAAAAGCCTTGGAGGTCAAGTAGGTTTCATAGCTGCAGGTTTCTGCTTTTAAAGACAGTTGCTGCCATTTCTCTGTTCTGGAGGCACAGGGGGAAAGGTGTATTTGGAAAACAGTATTTCCTATTCTAGGGATAGGAATTCCCATCTACCAGAGCACTGGATTTTACAGACCAGAAACGACAAGCAGTGAGGTATGAAATCAGGTATCAGTGGCATTAAGTGAATGGTGTGTATCCTGAATAGCTTTAATGACTTAAACTATTTCTTATCCTGATGCAGACAGTGCAGTTTCATGTCATACGGAGCCCAAGTCCCCATAAGTGAGACTCAAAGGGCTCTCGGAAGGATTTTGAGTTCCTCTAAACCGTGATACTGACTGCGATACATATAGGAAGATGCCTTCCGTTTAAGGGTTTGGTTTTTGTTTTGAACTAAATATTCTTCCCAGATGAACCTTCCTCTTCACCTGACTGCAGGAACACAGGGTTGACTACGTTATTCTCCCTGTATTGAAAAGCCTCAGTTCAACTTCATGAGGTGTGTGTGGAACGGGTTGGGCTCTCGGTGCTCCTAGCTAGTCTCTTGTCATCTGCATAGCGCATGGCACGGTCTCTTGACAAGAAATCGCATACACGTACTCACTGGAGGCAAACACGGCCCTGGGAGCGTGGTCTCTGGGGCTGCACGCGGAGCATCTTCTGGAGAGGAGGAGGAGGAGGACAGCGTTCATCACTGCTGTGGGTTGCTGCAAGTGAAGGTGCTGCTGTTAGTGGGGAAGGTTATCGGGGGAAACCTGATGGGTCAGCTGCTTGCTGACACCTGAGGAGGCTGGGGGGGAGCTGTGAGGGCTGTGGCCTCTGCTCAGAAAGGCCTCAGCTCCTGCTGGA